ATTTTCTTATCTTCTCTTTCTAGATGTCACTCTACTATGCTATCAACATCAATTGATGTTGGGACCAACAAGACAAAATATATCATGTTAACAAGAACAGATAATTAAAAAAAAAATTTAATTCATTCTTTCAGGAAAAACTGCCAAATGTTCAAATGAACCCAACCTGGTTGTGTTTTTCAATATCCTAAATCAATAAAGCCTAAACAAGATGCATAGGGAATCCTTGAAAACTTAAGTTGAATAAAAAATAAGAAAATTTAAAGCTTATCTATCAAGTATAAATTTTATCTAAAAAAAAGTTAAACTTAAATCTCTACTTTGGGCACCACTTGTGAATCAAAATTAGCAGAATCCATTACTCTAATGATTACTAGAATCGGCCATAAGCAAAACAACAGCAAAAATAGCAAATTTGCAGGGACCAATACATAGAATTCAATTATTACATATCTTGCTTCCTTTGTTAAGAAATAAAATATCGAAAAATTCAAACCCGCATCAATTCTTAAGGAGAAGAATCAAATCATCCAGAGTAAACGTAAAAATAGAAAAACCAGAAGAAAAAAATAGCATTTTTAACTATACCATGAATCTTGCACCCCTTTTTTAGGTTTGTTTGTCATCAAACTCAAATTTTGTGTTGAGAGGTTAGCATTATAGAAGGTGTTGAAAGGAAGAAGGTGAGGGATGAGATTTAGAATAATAATGACAATGATACACTTAAAAGAGCGCTAATTCCAACTAAAGCTTATTGAATGAACATCTACCCATTAATTATTCGTGTTCCATTAATTGTGTTGTCATTAGTTAAAAAAGAATTACCTTGTAAATATTTTTTTTTTAATGGTTATTGATGCCACCAAAGTGATAAAAAGGTTTTTCCCATTCTATTAGAGTGAGGAGAAAACTTTATAAAATAATTTAGATAAAGCAACAAAAAAAAGAAAGTAAATAATCAAAAATTGCATTGAAGTTGCTTAGTAAAAAAATAGCATTCTCGCCAACTCTTCCACTCCCACTAAAGAGATTCCTTTTTTCACTAGCACTAATTTTTTATTAACATCTATATGTGATCTAAACAATACCAGCTTGATCAATTGAAAGGTGGCCACAATTATAGTCCATTCAACTTCCTAATGACGTGAGACTAAGTCCATATTGTAGATTAAATTTGTAGAATAACTATTATTATCATTGATAACATTTACGATAATGGCAACACTCTATGGTGAATTTTACAAGAATTGCATTAAATAAAAGAAGAAATTTAAAAATTTATGCTAAATATTAAGAAAATAAATACATAAACCAAAAATATTGTGAATCTTGGTCGTGATTGGTGCACGTAAACTCTAGAGCACAGCAAATACTTGAACAACAATGATTAAACTTTCATATTCATGCACAATATAAACCAAAACAACTCTTTATCTAAGTTGTTGCCTCTTATGTTTGTTGTATTAAAGCCTTTATATTACATATACTCATATAGTAATATAGACCTGGCTTTCCTTCGCTACAAAGAGTTACACAGTTATGGAGGGTTGTGGTTAGTTTTTGGAGGAACCACCAAAAAATATATATCTGTAAAAAGAAAATAATTCAAGTGAAAAAAAGGGTAGAGACACTCCCAAAGTAACAATTTACCAATGAACCTAGTTTAAGCTATGCTCTCTAAAGATTTAAGTCAATGGAAGTTTCAAAAATTGCATCTGTAAACCAAGTATAGAAATTATCAAAAAGAAGTACAAATGAAACTCATATCACCGCTTTGGCTAATAATAATGTCTCACAATTGGCACTAATTGCTACCGAAGTAATCAACAGAATAGCCCTAACCAACGATTGAGAATGAAAAGAAATTCACACATTTGAGCTTTGAGGGAATTTGCATGATGAATCAATGCTAAGCATTTAAGCATGGTTTCTCTTGCTTTCAATTTCACCAGCAGATTCTCCAAATATTCCAAACAAGAACTAATTCCTAGGAAAAAAATTAAAACTAATCTTGGAGAGAAAAAGTAAAACTAATTTTCTAAATAAAATAGTCAAGCTTAGCAAATTTTTTGTTTTTTTAAGTTGAATTATTGATTGTCAATAACAAAGTAAATGTTTGGAGTTAATGTAAGCTAACCAAGGAATTCGAGGTGAAGAGGAAAAAGAAGAAAACATGGAGATGAGCTTCATAACAGAAATTGTAAAGAGAAACCAAAAGATATCATTTACTCCAATAAAAAACCACTAAATCAACCTATTAGCTATTGATGCTTCTTCACATGTGTTGGCTCCACCATTCACGTTTTTGAGAGAATTAAACCAAAAACTTTTCTTTCTGATAGAAATCAATAGCAACTAAATTATTAAGAGCTGCTTGTCAAAAAAAGTGAATAATCTAAAGTGGTGTGACAATTACAAAAAGAAACTTGACATTTCAAATTGTTCTTTGCTTCATCTTCAGAAAATTTGTTTTGCCTCTGAATCACATTCTAACTCCGATTCAAAAATTTGTATTTCAAACTCGATTAGCTTGGCCAATTAGGTGTCCTCAATTAGAGAAGATTTAGCTTCCAAATGGTACAAGTCTAAATTTATAAACTAGGTATTAAAATTATACGATGAGTACTACTAGTACTAATGATAATTATGACATGCGGTGAATCTTGATAAAGAGTTAAATCAAAGCACAAATATTGGTTTAAAATCTAATGGTAAGACTTTAAGGAAAACAAATTGGCCAATGGTGTTGTAAATCCTACTAGTGTTTGGAATACATAAACTTTAGAACACAAGAAACATGAAATCAAGTTGGACAAATTTTCAAAAATCCAAGCACAATGTAAACCAGAATAGCTATTTATCTATGGTTTTGCCTATATCTACATATATATATGCCATGTTACCTAAAGACCCATATACATGTACATATGTACTAATACATAAAAATTCTGGTACTCTTAAATAAAAGAGTTGAGCATTCAATGATTATTGTCGATAACCAACAAGGAAAAAAATATCATCTTAACAAGCCCAAAAATTTTACAAAAATATAAATTTAGTGCTTCAGCATCTGCCAAGCGATCATATCAGTGAATGAATCATCAATAAGTTGTGCTTTCCTAAATCCTAAATCAATCCAACTTTGATAAGATGCATATGTATCAAAGCAAACCCGAATTAAATATGGCAATATCAAAAATTTAAGGGCCTATTTAGGACTTTTTTAGGTTGCTTTTAAAAACATTTATATTTAAAATTTTCTAAATATTTTTAATCTTCCATTTTTAAAAATAAATCAATTTATTTAAAAAAAACTAAATACAATTTTTCACTTTTTTATTTTAAAACAGCTATGACCACCATAGACACCCACCCGTCGACTGTCATCTACCTTTACCAAAGTCTACCGCCAGCACCAAATGCCGACCACCACCCAACATCATCATGGCCGCAACTTAGCTGCTACTTATTGGTTGCCCACCTCCAAAAAAGATAAAATAAAATAAAAAACAAAAATATATTTTAATTTAACTTATCAATCATATTTTATTTTAAATCAAAAATATAAACAAAATAATAATAATAATTAAAGTAAAAATAATCCAAAACGACCCTAAGCTTATATTATAGTGCTTAGTAAAGCACATGAAGCTCTAAGCATGACCACGCAACAATCCGCCAAAATGTATGAATCTTGAATGTTATAAATTGGCTTTGTTATTTTTAGAGGAATTTATACCACACAATTTTTATATATATAATATTTAAATTTTAATTCTATATTTATGACACTCATATTTTTAATATCGCATCAAAAATATTATTATTATTAAATCTTAAAGAATACAATACATATTTTGAAGTATATGTAAAGTGATATAAATATAAAAATCAAAGTTTAGGTATTAGATATAGTATGTAAGTAAATATTTTGTGTGTGCTAGAAAGATGTTGTCTGACCTTTCGAAAAAAAAATTGTAATAGTCATCACAACTTTTTGAACAATAACTTTTTCTTAAAACAGCCACAGCTGCCCCAAACAAGCCCTAAATTGCATTCATCATTGGATTGTGATTAAACTATGGCCCAACAATCTTCAAATAAAGTGAATATTTTTTAACAAATCATTTCTAAACATGATTGATCATGATTTGATAATTATTCATGGTAGGTTCATGACTTATTCAATCATGATAATGCCGGTTAAAAGGTGGCTCAATTATTATTTAAATGTGGTTCAAAGTTATTCAACCAAAGTCAATGGTGATTAGAACATGGTTTGATCATAATTCAAAAGTGGTTCAAAGATTATTCATTCTTGGTTTGATCGCTATTTAAAGTTGGTTCAGAGATTGTTTGATTGCGGTTTGATGATAGCCTCACATGAAAATTCTCCAAATTAAACAATTTTTAGGGTTTAATTTTGCTTATTCAAAAACTTATATAATTTAAATTATCAATCATATTTTATTTTAAATAAAAATATAAACATAATAAATTAAAAATAATAATAATAATAATAATAATAATAATAATAAGTAAAAATAATTCAAAACAACCCCTAAGTTTAAATTTTTAGTACTTTGTGAACCATTTGAAGCTCTAAACGCATGAATATCCCACAATACGCCAAAACGTCTGAATCTTGGATTACTAATTTGGGCACCTATTGTGTCAGAAGATAAACTCAACTGAAAAAGTCACATATTTAAGATTTATTGACTTAAATTTGCACAAACAAATACTCAGAATTTTAGCATTCCTCCCATTTTCACCTGGTTTCTCCATTGATTCATCACAGACATCATTTTTTAATAAGAACATTCCAACCATCCAGGAAAAAAAAGAACTAAGAAAAATTAGGAACAAAGTAGTACTTTCCAGATTAATTTTAAAGCTCGACGCAAAATTTGACGGGTTAATTGATCTTCGAACTAAAAGTCAGTGCTCAGAAGCCATTGATAAACAGTATTAGAAATGCCATCCACCACACTAAATACCTGGAGAAGAGATTCAAAGCGGCAATGGTGCAGAGTGACCCAAGGAGAGCGCTCGTTCCTATTAAACACCACTGAATCCGCCTATCGCTCATTGATATGTTTCCTTCTATGTGCTCGCTAAGTTCGCTCGTATATACGAAAGATTTGCCCTAGAAACCTTCTGCTTGGTACCTGTCAATATTTTATCAATGCCAAATCAGAGCAGCAGGTAATCGGTTATTTGTTGCGGTTATGATATAAAAAATTTGTGTCTCTGTCTTTTTTTTAGTTTTTTTTTTTTTTTTTTTTTGTTATTTTTAATAATACCGAAATAACTCGTAAGTAACTCAAAAATAAAGATCGTAGGTTATTTTTGAGTTATTTCAGAATTATTGAAAATAACTCAGAAATAACATGAAAATAACTCAGGAATAACCTACGTTGTACATAGAGCTACGTCAAGAGTCCGGACAGAAAATGCGCTCTATAATATAGCCTGTTTTTTATGGAGGCATTTATATGAATACCAAACAATTTTGTATATTTTTAATTTTTAATTTTTAATTTTATATAGATGCCATTCAAATTTTTTATAACACATAAAAAATATTATTATTATTATTAACTTCTGAAGAATAAAATGCATATTTTGAAGTTTATGTAAAGTAATAAGAATATAAAAATCAAAGTTTGGGTAATTGGATTTAAGGGTAATTAATGAAGATGGGATCCTCCGTTGTGTTCAATATTGGATTATAGAACATCCCATTTTGCATTGTTGGAATTTCTTTAATCATTGGGATACAATTTACAAATATTATATTATATGTGAAGTTCCAATTGATGACCAGAAGTAGTACTATGTAAGAGAACTAAACAGTCACAATACTTTAAGAAAATATAGGCACTAAGAAATATTTCATGGAGTGCACTACGATATAGGATATGTAAAAACTCTAATTATATTATTTCGTGGATGATATGTTTCTCAATCATAGCGAACACGATATTATGCTCACCAAGATGCTTACCTCGGATAAATATTGTGGAGGCTATGAAAAGAGATATGATGCACATATGATGGGCTAACATATGAGAAAATCAAACAAGGTATGAAAAGAGATATGATGCGCCATGAGGCCACTTCCTTAAAGGAACGCCTCAATCAGATACTTTATAACAGAGTAACAATAACATTATTGTGCAAAGTTAATGAATTAATCTGAATATTATGGAGGAGATATGTTAATTTTCTAGATGAGAGAGCATAAATAATATACAAAATGTTTAATAATAGAGTTTTCTTTTTTATTATTGGTAGTTAAAATGCAAGTATATTCCATTATTCCATTATCTTAATCTAAGATCTAAGATTTTTTTTTTTTTTGTGTGGTAGATCATTAATTTTTAACTTATTAATTGCAAGTGATTATTTATCTTATTAATACGGAGGTTTGTTTAAGATGACTTTTCATAAATTCATGATATATACTCCTTCTCAACCTATCCAAGTTGTATTTGTAAAGATGAAGGCAAGCATTTCCATTTTTTATTTTGGAGAAAGTATTAAAAGCAAAATTAACAACGAGTTACACCATTTGTACTTATTAAGGATTAAAATATTTTTTTTGGCATTGAGGGCAATCATATTATGATGGAGTGTAATCAAATAAAGCTGGGGAAAATTTTATTGAATGCTTTGATCAACATATTATTCCTAATTTTGTATATAAAGAGGAGCAAAATAAGAATAAGAAACTTGCTACCGATACGGACGTTCATTAAGATAGGGTTGGAGATGAGGCGACAAAAAAGTATAAGTTAGAGCAGGAGATGTTGGAGAAGATGAAGCCCATAATAAGTCAATCACTTTGAGATATAGATACTTATAGTGTAAAATTGGCTTCTTATTGGCTACATATTTAATAATATACAAAAAAAAAAGAGTGATGTACATTTAGTAGGTTTTAGAAAGTTGTAAATAAGTAAATACTTTTTAATCTTAGATATTGTGCATGGTTACAACTCTAAGCTCAGAAATATAAAAGTGGGTAGTGAAAGTGAGATATGGTTCTTGTAGTTGTATACTTGAACAGTCCAAGTATTTGGTTAGATAGTAAGGTGAGAGATTTATTTTTTTTTTTTAATTTAGATTTTGATAAGTATTCCTTATAGTAAGTTGCACTTAAATTTTAAAGTGTTAATATCCCTTATTTTTTCTAATAAGAGGTAAAATTTGATGTTATCCAAGAATTTATGAACCTGACATCATTTTGCTAGATGAACCATTTGATCAAATCTATAATGCAAGATGAAGTGCATGATGTTTGTGACTTGAACCCTTCTAGTATGTCAACATAGACTTTGTATGCAATGATAAATTTTTGTTGCATGTGATTCCCTTATATCTTGAGAAGTCAGTGTTTTTTTATAATGGAGAAATCTTTTTCTTTTCTAAACCATTTTAGAGATAAAGGAGGCCACCTGAGATGAGATACCTAAGTCTATTATAAAGTAATTCCATTTGGAATTTTAACAAAATTAAAAAAAAAAACAAAAAAAAAACTTGATCATGAAAAATTTAGAGTGTACACAATACAATATGGCATATACATTATTAAGAAACAATCTTTCCAAGAGTACACCTAAGTGTATACACTGCAATATTTCACTAAAATATGCCATATAAAACTATGTAAGAGCTATTTATATGTAGAGTTATTTCAATACAATGTAAACTCATAAGTGTAACTATTATTCTAATATTTTTTTTAGTAAATTTATTCTTTCATCAACCTATTTTACATTAGTTCTAAATTTACTTCACTTGTATTACAAATTTTATTTTATAGCTCTTAAATTGCACTGTTAGATTACACTCTATATTTTGTTTGTTGTAAAACTTTTCTTAAAATACATCTAGATGCCTTATAATTGTTTCATTATATCGCTTGTAACTTGTTAATGCGATTGCACTCAGTCTAATGTATCAATGCTATAGTGCGCATAAAAAATATTTGAACCATAAAACACTTCAATTTATGATTGGGTAATGATAGCAAACCTTGCTTGAGCATTCTTTGATCCATGGCTAAAATATATTGACTTTTTAAACACATTTAAACAATGTTAGAACATTGTTTAAAGAAAGTTTGAGTGGTGGTTGAATAATATTTAAATAAAAATTGAATAAGGTCAAAACATAAATTCAAGCATTGCTTCAATATAATTTGATTCATGCTTGAACTAATGTTTAATGAATCAAAATTAAGTAATTACCATTTAAAAAGTGAAGAAATTTTAATTTGAATCAATCTCTTGAGCAAATTTACACAAAAATATAGAAAATGGGATGATATATCCAATTGTTACTATTATGAAGCATATGAAGCAAATTTTTCTTAATTATACTAGAAATGATAGTTTTTTTTTTACAATAAAGAGAAAAATATTCTTAATTATAATAGAAAAATATATCCAATTGTTACTATTATGAAGCATATGAAGCAAAATTTTCTTAATTATAATAGAAATGATAGTTTTTTTTTTTACAATAAAGATCGAAAAATTAAAATTACAGCTTGCAGCAAATAAACTTATTAATCCTTTGTTGTGACTTGACTCTGTTATTATTTATGTTAGAATCTATAGTTTTATCTATAATTTATATTACACTCTTCTAGTGTGGTTGATTTCTTAAGGTTAAATTATATAAAAAAAAATTATGAAAATGTTTTTATCCAACAAAATTGTAACAACGAATATATTATTGAAATTGTCTCAAACAAAAACTCTAGTTTATTTTGGGACATCTTTCTTAAAACTTTGTTTTTAAAACTATTACCACATTATTATTTTGATCCACAACTTTCTATTTGCTTTAAAAAAATTTTGCGTCGACAAACAACTTTTACATTCATATTTTCTATAGTGTTGTTGATGTAAGGAAAATTAAACTTTGATCATTTGAACAAAAAAAATTATAATACCCAAAATAATTTTTAAATTTCATTTTTTCACAATAATCTACCTACATTCACATTATAGAGACTTTGAGTTGCTAAAAATGAAATTTTAGTATTTTGGTGGAGTGCTTCAAAGATTTTTCACTTTATATGGCTTCCACACTTCAATTTGGATTTAAATTTCTTAATTTTAATAGATTTTTGTCATAATAATTAATATTAAACAAACATATCTATTATGTTGGCATAGTAGTAAAAAAGTTGACATTTGATTTTCTTTTTCAAAAAAAAAAATTATAATATCTAATATAGCTTTCAAATATATATTTTTCAAAAAAAAAAATTTTTGTTTGCTCCTTTCAAATTATTAAAATCATCCCAAATAGACATTTACACTCTTATATAAGTAAGCTAACCAAATAAGTATTATGAAGCCTCGCTACAAGAAAAAAAAACTAAAACTTGTGAGAAAATCGACGACCAAGTTATCTTCGGAAATTTTGAACTTATTTTAGATATCTTTGCGTTGGGTTGTATTTAATTTCATTTCGACCACTTGCAGACATAAAAAAACTATAATTTTATATCAAAACAAATTTTTGATGGCTTTTAAAAATCATTAAAGGTCAATGCAGTCGGTTCATGCCGACTTACGTTAGAAATCTTGAACATTTATTTTTCTATGCCTTTTGATATTAACTGATGGTTAAACCCGTCAGTTAGTATGTTATTAAAAACTAATGTCATTAACATGTCGGAAAGCCGTCGAAAAAGTTTCCTATATGCTAATCGATGCCCTAAATCTTTTTCATTTTTCTCGCGTGTGCAAACCATACGGACCATCGGGGCTCTTTGCTCTCATTTATGATTGCCTTCGTCATATCTTGATTTCTTCCTATCAAATCGAAGATAATCTCGATTCAATCATTACTCTAAGTTTTTATTTAATTCAATTTGTTAGTTCTTTCGCATATTCTGATTTTGTTTTAATATAAATTCCAAATTTTGATTTTTTTCTTAGAATAATTTTGTTCTTAATTTCTAGAATATCTTAGGTTAAGTAGATCTTTTGAGATAAAGGTAGTTGGTGAGATAATTAAATTAAAATTTACAAATCAAGCACACACATAATTTTTTGAATTATCGAACCGATGCATTTATGCATCGTGATCAAATCTTTCAGAATTTGATAAGAATGAAAAATATGAGTCAGGGTTTTGCCATGAATTTTGATATACGGGTCAACCCTA